TGACTGCCATTCTACCCAAAATCCTCTCAGCAGCATCACAATCCTTCAGTGATTGTTCAACCTCTATTTTCCAAACAATCATTGATTAGAGATGCCTAGTGCAAGAGTCAGCATATCCATGTACAGATACTTCTATTTTTTTTTAATCTTCTTTATGTGAACCAACATATATCTCTGTCACACCATCACCCCACCAGTTCTAGTCTATGGAAAAACAGAACCATCCAATTCATTTTCTGCAGGAGAATTTTAAATAGTGGATGCTAGTTGTCATTGCCCTTCAGATGTAACATCCTAAATGCACTCCTGGGTCAGCCTTTGGTTGAAGGGATGTCCAGGCACACTACATAGTGGTCTCCATTCTTCAGCTAGTTAGTGTTCCTCTGAGGAGGAAGCCCAGAGCTACAGAATTCTTAATGACTTCTGCTGGCTATACAGGTAATTTGCTTTACAGATAGAATATAATAGAAGATAGATAGATGATAGATCGATAGATACAGATTGATAGATGATAGATAATAGATAGATAGATAGATAGATAGATGATAGATGACAGATAGATAGATAGATAGATGATTGATAGATAGATAGGTAGATAGATAGATAGATAGATGATAGATAGATGATAGATAGATGATAGATAGATAGACAATAGGTAGGTAGATAGATAGATAGATAGATAGATAGATAGATAGACAGACAGACAGACAGATGAGATAGAGATAGATAATTGAGAGATAGATATAGAAAGATGGCTTATTGGTGATAGATGATAGAAAAGTAGGTAGATAGATAGATGATAGATTGATGATTGATCGATAGATGATAATAGGTAGATAGGTAGTAGATGATAGATACATGATAGAAGGATAGAGGATTGACAAATGATAAATGAAACAGGTAATAGATGATTGATATGGTAATAGTTGGTAGATATAATAGACGAATGCTTGATAGATGATAGATTGATGATAGATGATTGATAGGTGACAGATAAATATATAGATGATTGATAGATGGCAGTTAGATAATAGACAACAGATAGATTAAAGACATATGACAGATTAAGGTAGATGACAAATAGAAAATAGATGGCAGATAGATTAAAGGTAGATTATAATGATAGATATAGCTGTCTACTGCACTGACCTAGTAGTTTATGGTCAACCAACACTTGGGCATTTCTTACAAGGTCTAAACTCAGACCAATTCTCTCCCACCCTCTATTCGTGAAATTAACTGCCTTTCAAACCTAAACCAAGACTTGACTTTATCATTCTCAAATTCTTCTTGTTAGTCTCAGCCCATCTTCCTCAATATCAGATCTTCTGAAATTTGTTCGTATTGCTGTCACTAAGGTGACTTTATTCTGTGGTATCACAGATCTGATCAGCACGTGGATGATATTCCACTCAACTCATTGATAAATATATGGAACATGGCAGGAAACGAGCTCTGGAAATTGGTAGGCGATAACTCTCTCCTCACTGATATCATCTCTGAGCTAGACTCCCTGAGCAGCATTGTCCCATGTGCTCTAGACACACACAGACTCTCCAGATCCTTAGTCTGCCATCAAACTCACTATGGTACTACTTTGTATCTACACTAACCTGCCCCACCACAATTTCTCAGTCCATAAAGATGTCAAAAGAGAAAG